ATTAAAGAGCTTGCCACTTTATTGGACTCCTCAAAAAACCGACATTGGGACTGTCCAAGTTGGAGAGGTAGTTTATTATGTTGTATATAGTTGTATAATTAATATTTACACAAGGAACACCTTGTAGTCATCTCGGATTTTGTGAAAGAGATACAGGTAAAATACAAAATGCTTCATTTGCGGTAACCGGCTTGTTGCTTTATTTGACATTTTTGTTACATGAATATGAAATATGAAATACAGGAAAGCACAGCCAAGTCCATCACACTCAACACTCCCGAAGAAAGAGCAACAGAGGATCACCCTCACCCATCATCATTGGCCCCAACAGATAACCAAAACTACAGTGGCCAACCAACATCAAATATGCTGCAGCAGAAAAGGCAGCAAAGAGTGATTTCAGTTTATGCAAGCCACAGGGGACTTTCCCGCCCCCTCCTTCGGTCAACTCATCTTCTGGTATGGCACCACCTCGGCTGGTCGTGAAACTGTTGGCCAAGAAACGTGCGGTTAAGGTGACATGCCAACAGGGTCAGCTTTCAAGCATCCTTCTTTGGTCAACCTCAACAGTGCGCCAGCAAAGCCTAATGATGTGTCATTGGTGAGTAGCTTGATTTTTTTATGCTTTTTTTTCTTTACAGAAATACCTATATCTTGTCTTTTGTTTAATTGAAAGTTAGTTATGCTTTAAAATATACCTTCCCTGATTGTCCTTACAAAAGGTGGGTGCCCAAAGGTTGTTTTGTGAATTCAAAATCACTCCTTTTTTTTTATTCGTCTATTCGATCAAAGCATGGTTATTTCAATTATTCCAAAGTAATGTCTTGAAATTTAGGCTAAAAGCACCAAAAGAATCCATTTAGCATTCTCCCAATCTTACTAATGTGCCTTGATACTTGTTATAGGTTTAAAATTCACACCTCATCTGTATTGCCTTCTAAGGGTTGAATGTACATTTGTTAAAGCCAAATTAATTTTCTTGTTGATTTATTTAATTTTGAGGATTCTTATTAAGAAATAAATATAGTGTTTGATTTGAATATTTGAAATCATCTTCTCATGTTATTTTGCATGGGTTGTTGTGAATGCAGGTGTCAACAAATGCAAGCTCAACTGCGTGGGAGATTACTGGTGATCATCAGTCCACCCATGCCCAAGACTAGGCTTTATCCTTTTCTGCTTTTATTTTCAACAAATAGTACCTCGTGATTTTGCTCTGATATGGATTTAATCAGTGTTTACCCTGATGTCGTCTCAAAACTTTGCATATGCAACGTGAATTTTCCGACCCTATTTTCCCACTCAATGTGAGTGTTATATAATCCCTATCTATAATATTATGTACTTATAGCATTTGTTAAAAAATATTAACATTTGTGCAAAAGAGTATGGCACCAAAAGTTACCTGATATAACAAATTTCGAAACTTTACACATACAGTTCTTGTGAGGAATAAATGTGGAGAGATGATGATAGGGGGTAAATAACCAAAAAAGACAGTAAGTAAAAAATGCACATATAATGAGTACACATCATTTTTGCCTTGTTTACCGAAGGCTTTACTACATATTTAATTGAGTAGCTAATTCAAATAGTCTCAGGGGTCGTTTACTTTGCATGATGGGATAAGACAAATTAATCATACCCACTTTCCATGTCAGCATTTAGTCCTTTATTTACTTTTTGGGATGGAATTTGAATAAATGAATTCCTCATTTACTTCCATGGATTAAATGAGATGAGGATAAAAAAGGTATAAAAAAATGAGATTAAATTATCAGAGGTCCATGCCGGGATTTTTTTATCAGAAAGTGACGGATGGAAGGCTGCCACCTGTGCGCCATGTCATTAAAATCCTGTCCCAAACCCGCAAAGTAAATGTCGGATAGCCGGGACTAATTTTCTTATCCTGTCCCAAACCCGCGAAGTAAACGACCCCTCAATATAACAGTGCTTCATCCATTACATGGTCTAAGAGACAAACCAAAGAAGTAATATTTTTTTAATCTATAAAATAACACACTAGAGCTTGGGGTAGCAATTTCTTCCATGAAGTTCAGTCTCCCGAACGTCGATACACTCAGCAAGTGCATCTGCGAGCTTTCTAAATCATCTCTTGTGCGTGCTGGACTTAGTTATCCTTAACCTGAAATGACGAGGGTAAAACTAGCACACACATAAAAAATAATCCCAATTCAAGGCACAATTCAAAGTGTTAATTTGGCTAGAAGCCTAGAAATGCTAGAACAAAGAAAGATTGACTAACCTGCACGAGTTTGGGGTACTGTGGGAGGTCTGATTGCAGTCACGTGAAAACCTAATCTCAGAAGATGCCTGCAAAACAAAGACACAAACTTTGTTAAGGGGACCGCAAAAACATTTTTATGTAAATTCTTACACACATAGAAAAAAAGAGAACAAGTAAAAGACCGGCTAGCTTGCAGAGCCTTGTTCTCACGCCCAACGACAATTGAGATGATGCGACTTTCCACAAGAATCCCTGTCAACGCACGGAAATCCTGAACCCGATTGAGGATAGACTCTCTACGCCATGCCTCTTCCTTTGCCATAGTAATGGCAGCTGCATGAGTGAAACAAAAATGTACGAAAAAAAGTCACGTATGTGTACACGAAGCCCCAAAATTGGCCTGTCATATATAGAGAATATGGGGAATGAGGAAAGACTGACCGTGGGCAGCAGCAGCAACAGGCACTGGTGTAGAAATCTAGAATATAAAGGACCGCTTGGTGAGCAGCTTCCATTTCTTGCTGCCATTACCGATAAAAATTGAAGACATAAATATTTTTGAACATTCAGTAGCAAATTAGACTTGTTCCAAATGAGCTATATAGGTTTCATTTTCTAACACAGAGAGAGAGAGAGAGAGAGAGAGAGAGAGAGAGAGAGAGAGAGAGAGAGAGAGAGAGAGAGAGAGAGAGAGAGAGAGAGAGAGAGAGAGAGAGAGAGAGAGGAGTTAAAACATCTTTTACCTGCATGCAATAATCCACCATGTCATCCTGCAGCTTTACTCAGAGTGCCTGTGCAAATGTCAACGTCATTTTCACAGTTGAACATTTCGGCTGCCCCACCACCATTCTTCCCACAGACAAAGGTTGCGTGAACCTACGTTATTTTCAAAGGAGTAAAATCTGTTTAGCTAGTATATAAAACCAAGAGGAAAAATGAGGTAGGATGAAAAAGGCAGTGTAGTGGAATGAAATTAAATTGATTAAGAGGATAGAAGAATGAAAGAAGAATGACCAAGAGAATGAAAAAGCATTTACCACGGACCATGTATTATTACCTCATCCACCGTGTTCTTTCGTGAAGCTATATGTGTGTTTAAGGGAATACAACTGTTTATGTGCTATCTGAAGCTACAATATTAACTACCCAATTTGCATGTGTGACTCATTTTGCAAGCATCTTCTCAAGTGTACTTGAATTCAAACTTAAGAAACTTGCATCGTCAATTACAACAAAACCCATGCTGCTTGCGGAGTTTTGCAAGCTCAGTCATCGGCGCAAAATCCCCATCCATGCTAAACAGGCTGGCGAAATGAACGAAACTAATTATCCAAGTTTAACATTGTCATGAATCAAAATGGATGTGATTTCAATGGCAAAATTAATGATGGTATACACAACGCCTCAAGTATTCATCTTTCACCAGCAATAATAATAATAAAAGAGAGAGAGAGAGAGAGAGAGAGAGAGGGGAAAGTAAAGTATCCACTAACTACACTAGTGTTGGTCAAGTTCAAATGAAGTGTCTGGTCAAAGATATCACCATAATCATCCACATAATGTAACATCAGCAGGGAACCAAGTGAGAGTAATTGATATTATTTTCTTAATTCTTACAAGTAAAAGAGAAATCAAAATCTATGATGACTACTAACAATATGGCAGCTAAATACAACTCAAAACTATATGAACAACGAAAACTTGAAATTATGAATATGGATGGGAACTTTTAGAATTGATCGTCCAGTGAAATGACTAACCTATCAGTTATAACAACTCTTTTTCTTCATCTGACAAGTAGACCTATTGTTGATCCAACAATCAGAGGCAGCAGTCATATCATGAATAGAGAATAGCATAAATGGGGCAAAGGAATAAAAAGGGGAAAAGTAAAGAATGAAATAATGGCCTACAACAATGCATCCAGGTGGGACATATCACAGTGCTTGTAAACAAATGCCACAGCATTTCCTTCTCTTAGTAAGTCGAATGCCATCGATTATCGATGAATGGTTCAGTTCATCAGAAAATATGGCAACCCTATCATCTTGCAAGGGTTTTCCCCGGGCAACCAGAAAACCAACATTTCCAAGTGTTGTCATAAAGGCCATATTGGCTGAAAAGCCTGTCGGACAAAGAACGTAATCCTACGTATAATTGATATTATGTAAATTGCATGCCTTGTAAATCTCATAATTTAGATTTATTTAATTCGTACATCCTAATTATCTACATGGCACATGAGTGGTGTTAAAAATAAAACTCTCTTAAAATGTTAAGTATCAAAATTTTTAGTCTACTGTAAACTAAGGTTCAATTAATACTATATCCCTCCTATATATTAATTCAAAACGCGTTGAGTTTGGGTGGCAAATTCTCACGCTTCGGATGCTGACATGGCGAAAATCTATGCTTCGTGACAACTGCTTCCCGAACTCTATTAATCTCTGCGCTCGATTGCATATTGTAATTTCTGAAGGAAGGCCCTGATATATTCTCATCAGATTCCACAATTTTGGCTCCTCTTGAACTGCGAGACAGCAATCCTCTACAACGTCGCAAACCAACGAGCTTATCCCTGAGTTTAATTCTTTTCTTTTGCATCTCTACAAGAAGGTTAAAAAAACAAAATGAAGTTTAATAAACACATTAGAGAAAAAGAGTATTGCAATCCACTAATTTCAGCATCATATGAGAAAATTTAACAAAATGATGGGCCAAAAATAATAGTGATTTCGAAGCATAAACTCACCATTGCCAACATTACTTACGTCACCAGCACGACCCTCCTTCTCAGCTACTATCAGACCACCATTGTCCCTGCCCAAAACCCCCTGAAAAACCACACCATTCTTAACACCCTCAGCCACAAGCTCGAGAAATGAGGGACCCATTTTCTCTCTTTCCTCCCTCAAATAAGCTCTAACAGCCTCAACCCCATTAAACTCCGCACTCTTCTTCACAACACCATCACAGACGCTATCTTCCCACACGGCAGCCTCGATCTCGTCTTTCCAGTCCGAAAGCTCGTCCGAGCCCAATCCTCCTTTCTCCGCCATCTTCTCCATCCTCCCGATTCTGCCCCTCCAAACCCTCTTAACGGCCTCGAAAAAATTGAACTTGCCGGCATTATCCCTGTCGCCTCTGTTCGCCAGGAGCTTCACCGTGCACTCCACGGCCACGGCGCAGTACGCGCGCTTCATGGCGTCCGAAACCGTCTCATTCCCATTTCGAAACTCCAATTCCTCCAACTGCTCGAACAATTCAAGAATGCCTTCGGAGACTGAATTATGCGATACCTCGGACTCGATTTTCCGCAGCAAGATCATCTTTTTCAGGTGAGTTTCGTCGTTTGCGAGGGGGAGAACGCGGAGGAGGGAGGTCAGAGTACGTCCCTCGAGCGGCTGCCGGAGGAGGAACTCGAGAATCCAATTCGCAATGTCTGATTCGATGTCCATGACCGGGAACATGAAGTGTCCAAACCCCAAATGTTGCAGAAGAAAAAAAGAGGAGTCTTTTATGGTGGTGGGGTGAATCCTGCTTCTTGATTGCTAGGGCTTTCGCTTGGGATTGGGAATTCAGAAATCAAGAGCTTATTTTCAGAAAAAGAGTTTGAGCAAAGCCATTTTTCAGTTCTAAAACTTACACTAGTACAATACCGTACTACACGGTAAATGTTAAAAAAAAAAAAAATATTTTAATTAGCTAATAATAACAATAATTGTTTAAAATTAAATATATGTATTTCTTAAGATAATTTGAAGTTTTCATAGAAATTAATGAGTCGATGATGGAGACCTTCCAAAATAAATCAAGGTCATATTAATCAATCAGTATAATTACATACAACATAAGGATTATCAGGGGCGGAGCTAAGTGCTGTCTTACCTGGGCTGCAGCCCGGGTTGAATTCTACACAGCACTTTATTTACATTCATTTTTTTTAATGTTGAAGCATATATCCCAAATAAGTAAGAATATAAAATGCATACGCAATATAATATGTAGCACCAGTATACAATACAATAAGGATGCTTATTGATTAAAAATGTAACAATAAAATATATACAAGTTCTTATTTAAATTATCAAATACTTTTTTTTTTATATTTACAATGAAATCCACTAAATGTAAAATTTGTTTATTCTGTAATATTTTCTACTTTTCATGTAATGGCATGACAACACATGTATATTATTAGGATGTTATTTGAATGTTTATATTAAAAAATGTAAAAATACAATAGAAGTTTTATTTAAATTTTCAAATACACTTTATTTTTTTTATTTAAAATAAAATTATTACATGTAAAATTTGTTCGTTGTATATTAGAATAAGTTTCAAACTTATTTCATGTAATAGTCATGATGATTAAATTTAATTGATAATAAATAAATTAATCTAAAAAAAATAAAGTTGGTTGTTTATTATAATTACTATTATCACAAAAAATTTAATTTATATGTGTTTCTTAAATGTATTTTGTCAATATTCTAGCCCGGGTAGAATTTAAATCCTAGCTCCGCCCCTGAGGATTATATTAGTCAAACTATTATGGAATAACCAAGTTAGTTTTTCAATATTTTAAGAATATCCGAATTTGTAATTATTATTTATAATAATATTATATTTTATCCAAACCAAACTATGAACCATGTTTTTTCACCAAAGATGATTCTGTGCAACCATGTTTTTTCACCCAAGATGATGCGGTAAAAATTGTCACTTAGGCTCAACGCATTCTGCAATTATATATATATAGAGAGAGAGGATTAGAACGTCTTCCAAGTAAAAAGGAAAGGGACTTTTTTTTTTTGCATCAATTGATGACTCTAACAAATTTATTCTTATATTTAGAAAAAAAAAAAGTGGTATAAATTTAAAATATTTTTATAAATATATATATATATATTATTTATATTTAAAATGACTTCTTACCTTGCATATCATCTTATATAATAGTAGTTTTTTCAACTTGTAACATATGATTACTTTATAGATAAATTTATTTATTAGATAAATAATTTTATTCTTTTCAAATAAATAAAATTTTTGGTGTTTTTTATTCTTTCCAACTTTTTAAGAATCCGTTTTTTTTTTTTTTTTTTGGTCACTGATTTTGGGAAAAATCGAACCCATTTTATAAAAATTGTTTAAGGCCCTCCAACCCTTGGCCCGAGGAAATGGAATAATTTACCCCTGTTAACTATTGCTACAAACTGTTTACATTAATATAATTAAATATTATTTAGTCAATATTACAAATTGTGTTTCCATTAATACTCTTTTTTTCAGTTACCTTTTTGTCAGTTTTTTAAGAAACTCGATAGACGTGTTGGTTCAGTTTCTTATGCAGTTTTTAGTGAAAAATTATTTGGTGTTATGGGTAGGGTTAAAAAACAAAATTTAACATCACTTTTAAATTATTTGGTGTTATGGTTCATTACAAACTTATTTTTTCATTGCACCAATATTTTTTTTAAGATTTTTTTTTTTAAAAAAAAAAAACCCACTCAATCTTGTGTTCCTTGCAATTGTGTACAATTAAGACTGTCCACTAACATTTTTTTATCAGCTTTCATATAAAAATTATAAATACACCAATATATGGTTTGTTAAAATTTATTGATTGAAAGCACATGAATAAATAAAAACTGTTCTTCATCCTCATTCTCTTACCAAAAAAACATCTACACCTGCTAACATCATCTTGATACAGGCATTATTTTTTGATTCCGTGCTCCCAACCGGATAGGAATCTTTTCCTTTTTTTCCTTCCTCTCACCGAAATTTCTTCCGGTGGAACTACACTGCTCTCATTTTCTACGCGTGCACCAGCATTAATAAGATCCAAATCAACGGGAAGTACAGCCGTATCATATGTAGCTAATAAGGTGCTATTTAAATAGAAATGAGAACAATAAACTTCTGGTTCCTCATGTTTTCCTTTCACGACACTTATTGCATGTTCACAAGGCAGCTCTTCCATTTGAAACTTGTTACAAGTACAAGTCCGTTCCTTCATATTCACAATGAATATTTGAGGACCACTCTTCACTTTGTATACATCCTCACTTGCTTGTTGCACCTATTTATTATTTTTAAATATTTTTTTTGGCACAAAAAAAAATAAATAAATAAAATTAAAAAAATACATAAATACTTATGAAATTATAAAAAGCTTACTTACAGTGAGTTTTGTAGAAGATTCATAATTCCTTTCTAGCTTCTTCTTCCCCATTTTTGCAAGGATAGTAAACGTGTTTTGCGCCTCTTTTCTGTTTTTCATATTCCAAACTTGTTGCATTCCACGAATATTCTCCAATAATTGAGTGATAGGAAGCTCCCGTGCAACCTTCATAGTAGAATTTATTGTCTCTGCTGCATTTGAAGTCATAACAAAAAATCTATTTGACTTGCAATGTAAACGAGACCATTTTTCTACACCTAATGTTTTCAGAAATTCCACCACCCTTTTGTTCGCTTTCTTCATTATCTCCATGTGATGGCTAAACTCATCATTTGTGTACGCATATGCTGCTGAAAAAAATGCTCCTTTCACTACTTCAAGATTTTTCTTGAAGTTTGTTATGATATTCTTAGACAAATGATATACACAGTGACAATGAGAAGCCTCTGGAAATATCTGCAATTCATCACATCAATATAATGTAATTTCATTTTACAAAAGTATATTCAAATATCTAAAGTCTGTTGTAAGTTTTTTTTTTCCAATTAAAACTGATAATTAATTTGTTTGTTAAGAGAGTATACATATATTTTATCTGATTTGTTTTTTAACAGAGAATACATATATATTTATATATTACCTGTTTGACAGCATACATTATGCTACCATGTCGATCCGAAACAATGCATAAATTATTCCTCTCTGATAGTGCCGCCTTCAAGTTTGAGAAGAACCATTGATATGCATTATTGTTTTCAGAATCGACAACTCCATATGCAAGAGGTAGTATGTGGCCAGCTGCATCTTGAGTGCTTGCTGTTATGAGTGTCCCTCCATAAGCTGCTTTTAGGAATGTAACGTCCACTATTATTATTGGACGACAATGATTCCAACCTTTTATAGATGCTTCCATTGATATGAAGACATACTCAAACCTATTTGACTTGCTAGTCTTTAGCTTCACAAATGATCCAGGATTAGCTTCTACCAGTTTTTCGAGATATAGAGGCAGCACTATGTAGGATTGGTATGGATGACCATAAACCTTTTCTAGTGCTTTTTGTTTGGAACGCCAAGCTTTTTTGTATGACAAATTAACTCCACACATATTCCTCATGTCTCGTATAACATCTGCTGGAGTGTAATTTGTTTTCAAACTCTCGAACTTATCCTGAATAAATGTTCCAACAATATTTGTTGTTGCTTGCCTATTCTCATTCATCCGAATCCCAAAACTGCATCTATGTTCGGATGTCACTTTTCAAATTTTGAAAACGGGACTTGTGTTGATTCTGGAAGCTTTCAATCTCCATGGGCAATTAATGTCAATGCATCTAATATCATATTGCCTCTGGCATTACTTTACAACCATGAATTGAAAATGATGTATGATGGCATACAAGCTTAAAAAAATTTTCAGTTCATCCTTGTTTGAATAAATCTGACCAATTTCAAGCTCTCCATCAAGATTGCCTGATTGTTTCATTGCTCCATAAATCTCATGTTTCTTTTCTACAAAATCCATTCTTTCACTTGCAATTTCGACGAGATCATGTGAATATTTGCAGCCATACTTAAGTAGGTTTTGATTTTGATTACCTAGATTTTTGAAATCTTCAAAATCCATCATCCGGAGAGGTTGTATCTCAATTGCATCTGTTTCCATATTTTCTGGAAGATTGGTTGCTGTCAAAGCAAGTGGCTGCTTGGCTTCCAAAGTTGCACACAAAGGGAATTTCGTGAAATATGCTCCTCTTGTCCTCAATTCTTTGTAGACCTTCAAGCTCATCTCGTTGCTAATCGTTATTGGCTTCACCCCTTCTTTTATCTGATATTGCAACTTCAATAGCTTTTCAGATGAATTGATTTCCATCATCTTTTTTATTGCTTCTTTTAAATCCTCCAAACCTTCGTCCTCTTTATGGAAAACACCACATACCTCATATCCTTCATATATAACGTCATCGGTCCATTCTCCATTGCAATAAACGAAAATAATATCTTTGCTCATTATTTCTGCAAAAAAATAAAAAAATAAAAAAATAACTATCAGTGATTTTTATTTTCCAAAAATGAAACATATAAAACACTTTTCTATTCTTTAATACTCAAGGACCAAATTAGAACCTCGAACTTGATTAAATATTGTAACAACGTACCTCAACAATGAATTTGTATTTCATTCAAGTATTTTCTTGTGTTCTTTTTGTTATTTTTTTGGCTCCCTAAACAGTCGTGTCTTCTCTACGTTCTGTTTTTTCTTTTTTTTTTTTATTGGTT